ATATGTTCATAAATTTTATCTTAAGAAAATAATGTTAAGCCAACAACATTTTTTAATTTTTTTTATGTTATCCATACTCATAATTGAGCCTTCCCGTGGGGCGGGAACAATTATAAATCCAAGTTCCCAGCTGGAATTTAAGAGATTTTTACTATAAGGAGTGTGCACTTGCCAGAGAGACAGAAAGCAAGAAATCACCCCCTGGGGGGATGACCATGCTGCAGTCCCTTCTCCTCCATTCTCGGTCAGGCATTTGGGAGTCTAGTTCCTTAACCACTGTGCCACCTGTTGGCCCCAGGCTTCACACTTTGTACAGTGCTTTCATGCATTATCACATTGGATCTCACCACAAGCCTGTTGAAAAAGCCCCATTTTTTAGATGAGAAAATAACGAAATCAAGTCTTGTGAAAGGTAGCAGTTACCTTATTTTAAACAATTTTCCTGGGCCAGCAGGTGGCATGCTGATTAAGGCACTGCATTCCCATATATATGGTTGACCACAGTTTAAATCCCAGACTCAGCCGCACGTGTGTGCAGGGCCAAAATCCTGAAAGGAGAAGGGACTGTAGTGTGGCCATTCCCCGTGGTGGGTGAGTTCTCAGTCTCCCTTTTTCTGCCTGTCTCCATTGAGTGTACACGCCCTATAGCAAACAGAAAAACATTTTTTTTTCTTATTTTATGAACTCTCCTAAGTCCCCTTTTAAACATGATAAAGCTGAAATGCCTAAGCGGGTCACATCTACCCATCGATGCTCACCCTGCCTTGGGTTAGTCACTGGCACAGAACGGTGGACACAGACTGGTGCTGGTGGGTCCAACGCAAGTGTCACTTCCTCCTGTGTCACCACGTACCTTTCCTGTCCCACTGCTCTGGAATATGCTGTCATTGAGTAGTTCTGAAGTGTGCTCATTTCTGATATTCACCCCAAAATGTTTCATGAAAAGTTGAGTCCTCAGTTTTGCATATAATATTGAACTATGAGTGTTTATGAAATGAATGAATAGTTCTGAAAATTGTTAACAACGGTGTAGTCTAGGAAGGAGCTGGATTTTTAAGTCAATAAAGAAGGTAGATGTGCAACAAACACCTGAGGTCCTTTGAACCTCATCAGTCCCAAATCTCTAGGTAACTGTGGCCCCAGGTCACTTTTCAAAACACAGCCTGCCCCCGGTGTCTGGGTTCTGCACCCGCAGGTTCAGCAAACCACTCATGCAGCCAGGCCACACATGGGGCTTCCTTAAAGAGATGTGTGGAGGAAGCTTTTTTTTTTTTTATTTTTTTTTTTAAAGAGAGAATTTTGCTGTAGGGCATGTGTGCTCTCCAGATAGAGAGAGAGAAAGGAGAGGCAAAGTGGGAAGTCACCTATCTCCCCCACCCCCAGGGATGACCGTACTGCAAATCCCTTCTCCTCCACTCTGCTCTCAGGATTTTGGGTCCATGCTCGCACTCAGTTTGCCTTTCAAGCTGCCAGTTCTGGAGCATGCAGTTGGCCATGTGAGATCTAGCCTCCCTAACCAGCATATCACTAGCTGGCCCTTGTTGCTTTTTTGTCGTTAATTTTTTTTTTAATTGCCAGAAGGCACATGCACTTGCCAGGGAGAGAGAGCGAGCGAGCACGTGTCCTCCAATGGGATGTGGTCATGCTGCAATTCCTTTTTCTGTTTCTCCATCTCTGTCAGGATTTTGCCTGTCATATTTCTCAAGCCCTTGGCATTGGGATTCAAACTGTTCCCCCACGTGGCATCTGGTTCCCTTAACTACTAGGTTACAGGGCAGGTGATCTATGACTTGAAGAATGGGAAGGGACGTGTGTAGGTTACCTGCAGTCCTATGTCATCACGTATGATGGCACCTGAGGACGGTGTCTGTGAGATCCTGCGCCAGTGCCTTTCATCCGTGGCTGGTTTTGCCCTACAGCAGTGGACTTGAGTGGTTGCCTCCGAGACCATCTGATCCACAAAGCCAAAAATATTTACTAGCTGGTTCTTTAAAGAAAAGTTTGCTGACCTCCCTGTCATGCTTGATATGATGGAAAGAAAGTATTAATAATAAACCTAAAACTGCGAGGAATGCTTCCACCAAAGTGCAGGCCATGCTGGAACACTCATGGGAACCGCGTTCTGGTAGGTCGAACACGGGAGGAGGGGCATGGTCACAGCAGGGTCGGAGGAGAACTCGGAATTAGCAATGCCTGCTTTCCAGCGGAGTTCCCAGAGCTCAGGGGTGAGTGACGTCTGATTCCAGAGGTTAGTGACGGGCTCGATTCCAGCTCTGTTTGCTGAATCACTTTTCTTCCTATCAGATCTTCAAAAGTATACTTTCAGGCTAGGTAATAAGTAGCATTTTACTTACTGCAGGGGACTGGACTGCTTGAATTTGAGGTGTGGCAACAGTAAACATTGTGTGCTTGATGTGGGAGTCTTCCGAGGGCCATTCCACTGAGTCATTTCTAATTTACCAAGATCACGCTGTCGATTATATGTTGAGACTTAATTTTAAATCAGCTTTCTACGTGGTAAACTTTCTCTTCTTTTGGAGCTTTTGAAGCGTAGATATGGGGAAAACAGGATTTTTTTCTTTCTGAAAAGAATCTCAAGGTCGTTAGGAACCTTTTAAAATTTCCTGGAGATGTTAGCCTGATGATTTTGTGGGCCGTAATGTTAGTGTGTGATGAATACGGCTGCGGGTAAATCTCTCCGGTATCTGTAGAAGTCTTTCATATGCCTATGAACAAAAGAACTTTGATCCGAATAAGAGTGCTGTTAGGTAACTTATTACCAAATTGAACAGTCATGGCCTATGCCTAAGGATTGGCAGTTCAACCTTTTTATTACTGATGGTAACAAACAGAGAGCATGAAAATCGTATTTGTGGTTAACAGCAGCTGGGAAGGAAGAATTAATATTCAAAATTATAGTCTAGAATGCTGGGCCAACATCTAGAAATTAGGATTTAACAGGCCAAATTAAACCCTTGCATTTTTTTTTTTTTTTCTTTTTGGAGAGGTTTTTGCTATGGGGTGTGCGTGCTCGCCAGGGAGACAGAAAGCGAGAAATCACCCCCTAGGAGGGATGGCCACGCCGCAATCCCTTCTCCATTCTCCTCTCGGGATCTTGGGCACGCACGCACACATGCCTGGCGTGAGTTTTAAGCCACCGGGTCCGGGACGCGAACCGCGGTCGACTACATGGGAGTCCAGCAACATAGCCATTACTCTAACTGCTGGTCCTGGCATTTAATTTTTTAGTAAACATTTAAAAAATTTATAAGTATATTTGACAAAAATTCAAGGAGGGAAAAACCCGGGTAATTTATTTACTAACCCCACATGAAATATGAAAAACCTGTCAAGTTTTCTTTTTTTCCGAGATTTTTTTGCTATAGGATATGTGTGCTTGTCAGAGAGAGACAAGGCGAGAAAGCACCCCATGGGGGAGGGGATGACCACACCACAGTTCCTTCTCCGTCCTTCTTTCAGGATTTTGGGCACACACATACATGCCTGGCATGAGTTTAAGTCACCAGGTCCAGAACTTGAGTCATAGTTAATTATGTGGGAATCCAACAACATAACCCCTTATGCCATCTGCTGGCCCCTTTTTTGTTTAAACCAGCCTTCTTAGATTGTATTGTGCCAAGATCCACGGAACAGTAGCCATGTAGAACTTTGATCTGATTATGCCTGTGATAATTGCTTCAGATTTAGTTGGCACATTTCTGATGAGCTGTGATAGTGAGGGGATCAAAAAAACAGTCAGTGTGTGGCTTCGGGATGATTGTAGATCTGGAAAGGGAAGAGGGCACAGCAGTTACCAGGTGGTGTTCCTGTTTTGATATCTGTCGTGTACAGTCGACCCATGTGGGGGAGCGTGGGCTCTCTTCCCGTGTACTGCTCACCAGGGGACCTGGACTGCAGCCCTCCAGTGAGAGTCAGATGTGAGGTTGTAAGGAAGGTCTCATTGAGGTAATGTGTGCTCACTAGTGGAAGAGGTGACTTAATGGTTTAAAAAGAGACTTTGGCATTAGATAAAAAACTATATGATTTCTTGTTGGGTCCAGGACTCAAACAATGGTTGCCCACGTGGCAGTCTAGCACCTTAACAACTACACCATCTATTCCCCACCCAAAACTGTGATTTCTTAGTTGTCTTCAAACCTAAGGATTCAGTGGATATTTATGGGTGATGATTAATGCAACATAGTGATTTATGATTGGCATTTTACTGAGCACTTACCATGTGACAAATACCATGCTAAGCAATTGACATGTATTTTGTACTTTTAACTCTCACACCCTGTGAAATATATACTGTTTGTGTCCTGTTGTACAGACAAGAAAAATGAGACTTAAAGAGGCTGAAAATTGCTTGAGGTTGTATGTCAACGGCCACTTACGGGATTCAAGCACGATCTCTAATTCCAGAGCTTATATACCTGCCATCAGTATGGTTTACTGATTCTCCTATTCGAATGGCTTATTAGTGTAATGACAAACTTTAGTGTGGCCTGTCAAGGTAATATCTGTATAAGAAAATGACACGTGTGTGATTGATCATGTAGTTAGAATGATGTAAATACCATAAAGTAATCCATAACTTTTCATTTGAAAGGAGGTAATGTCCTTTAGCGTCGATCAGTGACATGAAATCAATTGTATTGGGAATGTTGGTGACCAGTTTCTATTAAATTGTCAAATGTCTTAACAGTTCAATCATTTTATATCTAAATGTGCAAAATATTAACTTCTATGTAACTGAAAAAATTTTAACATTTGCTTAATTCTGTTTGGAAAAATGAATTTCGCTTATTTTAAAATTACATTTTATTTTTTTAAATCTGCAGATGTACAATATAGAAATTCCTCAGTGATATCACTACTTTTATGTTTGGGTATAAGCTAAATTTGAATATCTGCCAGTGGGTATTTGGATAGTTTATTGAAATGTACCATCTGGAAACCTGTAAACTTTAACAGTGAATGTTTTTGTTTAATTCTAGGGGAAAATTTGCAGTGGTGAGAAAATGCATAAAGAAAGATTCGGGGAAAGAATTTGCAGCAAAGTTCATGAGAAAAAGAAGAAAAGGCCAAGATTGTCGGATGGAAATAATTCATGAGATTGCTGTACTTGAACTGGCGCAGGACAATCCGTGGGTCGTTAATTTATATGAAGTTTATGAGACCCCATCGGAAATGATCCTAGTCCTGGAATAGTAAGTATCGTCTTCTGGAGGCTGTCTTGCCAGGCCGCCACTCGTCTGTGGTCCTGTTGCAGGGCCTGATTCTCGGGACATCGGAGGATTTTCCAGGTCTTCTTCATGCGTGCTTCTTACTAGTCCATGTTCCAGATTTGAAAGGACATGTGTCCATTAACTTTCTCATAATTCAGTTTTTTAAATTATTTTCCTTTTTTTATTTTTTTAATTGCCAGAGGTCATTGCCAGAGAAAGGGAGAGAGCATAACCCTGTATGGGGGCCTGGTCACACTGCAGTCCGTTTTTCCTCCGTTTCTCCATCCTGTCAGGTTTTGGGGGATGTGCACACACCCAGCCTGCTTCTCTAGCCACCAGGGCTGGGACTTGAACTGAGGCTGGGATCCAGCTCCCAGTTTACTGCGTGAGACCACTGCATTAAGGTTCAGCCCTCATTTTCATTCTGTAATGAAATTTTTCTGATAATACGGAGATACATTTTGCATTTTTATATGAATTATTCTTCAGATAACTGATACCCAAAATATCAAAATGAGAGACATTTTATAATCCCTTGCATGTTCTTACAGTCCGAGTTAATAGTCTCCTTCCTTTTAGAAATAGTAGGCTTGATTCTTGCCGTGTTTTCAATTTGAGTAAGTATAGACAACACAGAAAACAATTTTGAAAATGGAAGGACAGTTTTTTCTCCTTAAGTTCTGTGGGCCATCCGGTGTCTTGGAGGTTAAGGCACTGGATCCCACATGGCTGACTTTACAGTTTGAGTCCTGGACCCAGCAACTTGAAAAACATGCCTGGCATGCCCACAATCCCAAGAGGAGAATGGAGGAGAAGGGATTGTGGCCTGACCTTTGCCCTGGGGAGGATTCTTTACTTTCCTTCTCTTTCTTGCAAGCACATGAGCCCTGTAACAAGGAAACTTACAAAAAAAAAAAATCTGTTTTCTTTACTTCTCTCACCAAAAGAAAGGATTGACAGATCGGAACACAGATTAAAGCTCTGTTACATCAGTAAGCACAAAATGAAAAGACAAACTCAGAGAAAAACAGTTCATTTAGCCAAAATGAGTCAAACTTCTTTACTATTTAACTAGATACCAGAAATTTGCAAATTTGTGTTCACACGCACCAAAAACACATGAAACCTCCCCAGTAAAAAAAAAGAAAGGAAACGGGCAGGTCCTGCTCCGTGCCACATGATCACATACTACACAAACTACTTGTTCAAGCCCCTGGCTGGGCCAGTCTGAAACATGCCTGAAGGTGCAGCTCCTGTGGACAATGCCCCGCTTTCTCACATAAATCAAGAAAAAAATTAATCTTTTTAAATAGATACAGGATGTGAAGGGAAATTTCTCCCGGACACACATATAAATTTAAGTTGCCAGTTTACACATGAAAATATTGATTCTCTTTTGTTTCATTGCCAGCGGGTGTGTGCACTCGAGACAGGGAGAGAGCACCCCCTCGGTGGGGTGGAGTCGTGCTACAGTTCCTTCTTCATCTCTCTGTCTTGGAAAGTGTGTCCCTCCTTCCTGCAAATTCTTGGAAGGATGTGCATAGCTTTGATTTGCTCGGGGCACATATACACAGGTGCTCTGCATAGTTTTCAAGCTGTTGGGGCCAGGATTCAAACTGCAGCTGGCCATGTGCGATCTGGCTGCCTTAACCTCTGTTTTACGTGACTGGTCCCAAAAGTTGATTCTTACAAGTTTTATAATGTAAACAAGAAGCAGGTTGTTGGGGCCGGCAGGTGGCGTGGTGGTTAAGGTCACTGGACTCCCATGTAGCTGACCATGGTTCGAGTCGGTTCGAGTGCTCGACCCTGG